GAGAGAGAGAGAGCTAGAGAGGGGGAGAAAGAGAGAGAGTGGGAGGGGGAGAGAGAGAGAGAGAGAGAGAGAGAGAGACAGAGAGAGTAGTGATTCTAAGCTTTAATATTGCAAGGTAAAACATGTGGGTCGCCTGTGGACCGCACAGAGAGTAAGGATTATAAGCTTCAATATTGCAAAGTAAAGGATGTGGGCCGTCTAGGGACCGAATACATCCGTCCCACAAAATCCAACTCGCTCAAATATCGACAAAGGAAAGAATGTGGGCCGCCTGTGGAGCGGATATATCCGGCCCACAAAATCCAACTCGCTCAACTATCGACAAAGGCAAATAACAACTCGCTACACATCTAAGGTCCTGCACATCTACTCTTGAATCTAAGCACAACACATGGGCAAACTCACCGTATACGAGTCCTCAACTACGGACAACACATCTGCGGTACTGCAGAACAAATGATGGATGCCAACTTGCATCTAATAGCGGGTATGTGAATGTTCGAGAAATGAAAAGGCGGATCTTGTCCCCACGCCAAATAGGAAGCAAACATTAACATGAAAACCCCAGAGCTGGATCCGTCAGCCTGCCTTGACACTCCTTTGGCGAGAACTTGAAATCTCATGTTATCATAGCCTTGGGGCAACCCTCTCTCCATTGCCTCTTCGTTCAGGTACTGCACGACCGCTCTATATGCAGTCGAAGTGAACGTCGCGTCGCATACTGCTTTATAATAAGAATCGACGAACTGTACAACGCCCTTTTCAAAGTTCACTGACAAAAGAGCCCAGTGTTCACTGTCCTTGTGAATGGGGACAAATAGCACCTTGTGTTCGAAAAGATTGACCTCTTTCGTCCATCTTCTGACACCTTTACAACCCTGAAGTAGCAATTTTGTGAAAAGGAAAGAAACAAAGTTGTACACTTTCAAAAAAGATGTACGATAGTCCCGAACGAGCAGTGCTAAGTAGAAGTTGATGACCTCGTCATTCAGCTCACCGCCTCTGTCCAACAAGTTCTCTATGTCCCTCACCCTAACAACCATGTTCTCCGTTGGTAGGCGAGCCACAACCATAAAAGGGGTCAGGCGACAGTGTACAATGTTGTCCAACAACTTCGACAACTCTCCCTCACTTCTTTCGATGCTCGATGCGCACATGTCTGTTGCGCAGACCAACCAAGCAACATGCATGGCCATGAGAATGATACCCTAATTGTCAAAGTCGCCCGGTTCTTTGCTTTTATTATTAAAAACATTATACATCTTAACCCCTCTACTCGTCGTTCTGTCAAAGTACGACTCAGGTTGAGAAACTGGAGAAACAGTAAACCTTTTGCAAACTCTCATATGCAACTTATTAACTCTCTCAGGGCTCACACCCGCTGCTTTCACAATTTCCATATCCCATGTGGACAGTTGCAGCATACTCGTCTTCGACTTCCTCCATTCACCATATGCAGGAGACGGACGACCTGTACAACAGATGAAGAAACATAGTTATGAATAAAGGATACGGCCGTGCTTAGCAAACCAAGGGGAAACGAGCAATTACCCTTATGTTCTCCATATCCCAAGCCGCTATCTATAGACAAAAGTTCACTCCACACGTTCTGCACTAGATAGACCTAGAGTTAAGCAACGCAAGTCACTGCTTACCAGCCACAACGTCTTCTCCAGCATGTTCAGCAGCATCCTCGGCCTTGTGATCTCCAATTCGTGCCACCTCCGACTTTCATCTTCCCCGATGCAACAATGTGGTCCAGACTCGCGGGAAACTTGGACAAGCCCTTGATGTCAGCATCGACGATTCGAAGAACCTCCTCAGCAGAGGGATCAAGAGAGTCGACGCGCGGTTTCTCGACATCCTCATTGAGAGACAGTTCTTCTAGAGCCATCCTACCTCCCGAGGCCTTGCGTGGACTAGAATCGACCACTGTAAGGTCTTCGTAGTCATTGAAGAGCTTTCTGACGATGTCATTGCCTAGCGAACGATGGATAACTCCCTTTTCCTGTTCCGACACGCTAACTTTTCTCTCCTCCGCACACCGACCTGGCGCAAGTGTAGGTGAAGGGCCGCATGACCAACATCTGAGTTGACTGGCTAGCAAGGACGTTTCCAGCCGAAAGCGGTGCTGTATCCGTTCCCGAATACAACTGCAAGAGAAATTCGTCCTCCGTATCTCCGCATCTCACTTCAGTGGCACCCCTACATCTCACCTCAGTGGCAAGAGTCGTGTGCTGTTCAGCACTCTCCTTTATGATGTCCTTATCTTCTGAATAATGTGTTGACTCTGAGCTAGTGGACTTCGTCTGCTCGTCCTTTGTCATCTCTCCCCGGGGAGGAATCAGATTCGTTGTGGGGAGGATAGATCCTCCACTGGCTAAAGGGCTCTGGACTCCCGGGACGCTTGCGGGAGGGACACCAACTTGCATTTCTCGAGCCTAACTTGTTGTGTGCATGACAAATCCTCCGCCGGCTGAAGGGCTCCAAACTCCCAAGTCGCTTACAGGAGTGTTTCCTACATGTGTTTCTCGAGCGTCACTTATTGTATGCAGGATAGAAGATCCTCCACTGGGGGTTAGGCTCTGAACATCGGCGACGCTGGTGACTTCCTGGACGGGCTCGGAAAGTCTGTGGACTCCAGGGACACCTACCGAATGGCTTCGTACTGGCATTTCCCCACATATAGCGGTAGAGCTCGTCGACGACACATCAGCTGCACAATCTGTTGTGGGTCGGAAAGATCCTTTGTCCACAGTCTCCGCATGGGCGACTTGCGACTTAGGGAGCAACTCTACGGAGCGGATAGATTCGCCACCGGTGGAAAGGCAGCCCACGTCCACATCCATCCTCTGTTCGGACTCCACAACATTCACGGATCCAACTACCGCCGGTTCCAAAGCGCACGGGAAATTGGATCCCGCAGAAACTGTGCATGGTATGTTCCCGACAGGGATCGATTTGGACATTGTCGAAACTTCGGCTACGACTGTGGGGAGGATAGATCCTCCACTGAAGAATACTTCATCAGTCGGTTGAGCAAGCCGAGAACCTGCACTAGATTGTGAGCTCGCCCCTTCTACTGCACTAACGCTACTGTGCAGACGAGCACCCATTCCAGGCGGGATGGTTCCGACAGAACTCCGTGGATATCCACTTTTTCCGCCCGCTTGTGTACTGTCATGGCCTCCTGCTCCTGTGCCGTGTTTTCCCCCCACTCCTCCCCCCCCCATGTGCTGGTCACCTCCACCCCAACCCATGCCATGGTCACCGCCTCCACCACCGCCGCTTCCACCCCCTCCCCGTCCGCCACCTTCACCCCCTCCTGATGGAATTACCCACTGTATTCGCGCTTGAAGACCCGGGCTCGTTTCGAGGTCGTAAAATTCACGAAGGAGCTCCAACATATTGTGCTCCCGCAAAATCTCGAATATTTGCTCTCCGTACATGCGAACAACCAAATCGTGCACTTCTCGACCGTTGATCTCCGCAACATGCTTGACGACCTCATCGTGCATGCACTTTCTTTGACAGTCGTGGATCAATTTGCCACACGCCGCCTAGTTTGATTGACATGCACCACTCACCATCCCAAAAGGCCTGTTGGAAGTAATTAGGATGCCACACTATGTGGTGACCCCAATCAGCCTCGCTGGTGCTGTCGTGCTCCATGCCGAAGTGGTATACTTGGCCTTGGTGAAGACCCGATAACATTGACGGCGGAATTGGAAGTCCAGGCCTAACAGTCGGGATGAGAGGTCTGTTTCTCCTCTCCGACAGAAACCCTTTCGAAGAACTGGAGGTTGGCGTGGCCACCAGTGTGGCACCCGGAATACCAACAAGCGGACCCGTGGGAACTTGGGAACTTGCAGGAGTTGACGACGACGCTACAGCGACAACATGCTTACGGTATGTTGCATCTAAATCGAACTCCTCATTACCTTCGCTGACCTCTTCATCGTCATTGGGGTTAAAGTCCTCCTCCTCGGTGAAGTGCGCCCTGAAAATATTGAGAGTGACTTCGGGCTTGCCTTGGTTGAAATAACACTCCTCCAGTTTCTCGACGAACTTGGCCGCTGCCTCCCTAGACCCGCCATGGTAACCAGCCAACGTTTCGATCGCAACGTGTCGGCGTGCCTTGTAGTCGTCCTTTGTCCGGTACGTAGGACGAGTGTCGAGGAACAAGAACTTGTAGCGCTTCGCCCGTTTGTCCGATGAGAGATTGAACCAGAAGTTCTTGTTGGGGTCATGGTCCATTGCGCTCTGCCCAGTGTACAGTTCGCAGTTGTGAACTCCAGTGTCGATCACATGCATGACGTATGTATTCAGAAAGTTGAGGAGCTTTGTGTCCCCCTCCACTGCAACCACGTGGCGCCCACTCCTGAGAAGGTTCCACACAACTTGGGCGTGAGCCTTCCCGAGGAACATAACTGCATTCTCGGTTGGGCAGAAAAACTTCATCAGATTGTACAACAAAGTGGGGTTGCGCTCCATTTCCTTATACACTAAGCCCTTCTGGTAGAGCACACCTGCAGATTGGAACGTCGTGGGCGTGAATGGTGTTTCGACAATATGGAAAGGTGTGCACTTCTGCTTCTTTCCCAAGGCGGCAACATCATCCCCTCGCAACGCCCCCTCGAAAACTGGGGGAGTGTTGAGCTTAAGGTCATCCCCGTGGAAGAGAACATACATCCTATCCTCCTCGGCCGATGTGCTGTTACCAATTTGGTACGTCTTCCGGATTTGGCCCCGTGGAAGAGAACATACATCCTATCCTCCTCGGCCGATGTGCTGTTACCAATTTGGTATGTCTTCCGGATTTGGCCCCTACGAACCCATTTCCCCGTGCTTCCATTAACAACAGGGAGGACATGGAGTAGGCCCATAAAAGAGAGGTCCCAAATCCTGGGAACGAAAGGAACTACTGTCCAGAATTCAGTACACAGGGTCTCCAGGAAATCCACCAACGCCTTGAAAGTTTCCTCATTCCAACGCGCTCAGTCAACAGGATCACAAAAGTCGATGATGCACGTGTGGCAACGGAGTTGTCTCACAACTCTCCGCATGTCATCCTTCATAAGGAACGTTGTGAAGGCATCATAGGCGAAAGGTGACAGCGTTGTTATAAGCTTAGTGTCGCACCATCTGATGTTAGTGCAGCCTCCCAGTCTGACCGACCCCTCCTTTTCCTTTTCGCGCTCGCCTTTGAGCAAGGACAACACAACTCGCTTGAACGCAACAAGGAACTTCTCGTTGTCAACCAGGCCCATCGTTGTTTTCAGGTCCTTATCTGACGCGCAGCCCAGGAACTGGGGGCAGTCCTTCAGGTAAGAATGATCGACAACAAATCTCCTGCAGGTTGCCCACAACTTCTCATTCAACCCCTTTGAAGCATAGTGCCTCAACAATTGCTCTCTCGTCCGGAAGAAAGCCGCGTTCCAATCCTCGTTTGTCCGGCTCTGGTGCTGGAACTTGATTATATGCCACAGCCAGAGCAGCATCCAGTCCTGCTTTATGGTTTCGCAGGCGTCTTTCATCCCCATCTTTCCGTGGTCAACGAGTTTCTTGCTCCCTTGCTGCACGCACACAATCTCAAGGTCCAGCACACCCTGCAATATCCGTTGTTTTTTTTCATCTGTTAAATCCCCCATTTCTTTCCAGCAATGCATGTCGGGTTCATTCACTTGCAAAAAAAAGTCACGCTCCTCCTGTTTCCTCCGCTTCTTTCCTTTGCGCTGCTCCGGATCTGTAACACGAACGTTGTGCACAACTATCTTCTAGTCACTGCTGTCCTCAGCAAAAGATTGACCCTCGGAGACGACTCTCGGGTCAGTCGTTGGAGGCTTCTTCGCCCACAAAGCGCCGTCTGGAGATAGAAGTTGACCCTTCTTCCACTCATCGTAGAACTTCATACCCAGTTCCCACATCCGGTCATTACTCATGACTAGAGGCAAAAAGTACCTCAGTTTTTCCTGCCAAATTTTTTCTTCTTCTTTACTTTCAGTATTAACAAGGTCCCAGAGGTTGTGGTATGATGTCTTTCTCAGTGCCATCTTTTGGAACTTCTCATACTTGACGACCAGGTTTTCTTGAACTTCACATTCTCAGCCACTGGACGAGGGCATTTCAAATTTTCCCACTCCTGTCGCATATCAATCATAGACAGCAGTTGCGCCCGAGGAGAGGAAACTTTGTCCTTCCTGTTGTCGACAACACTGATTTGGGTATAACCGTCGAAGTCCTCGTCCGAGAAGTACAGAGTTTGAAGGGTCACTCGAAGAATGAGTGCTTCTTCCAAATGTCATGATTCCGTAGCGTCAAAGCGGCCCTCATGTTGTGCTGCCCGCTCACGGCATAGTACCAGTTCTCGTTCGGGTTGTCCTCATTGAACTCGTCTGGTGTAATGCACACAACCAACTTCCCTTCTTTCGGTGGCTCTTTGATGACCGCCAATTTAACGACTGGCTTTTCGTTGGTATGCTCCAGCTTCGAGTACACCTTCATCATAGCCTTCAAAATAAAGTCTACGTGGGTGCCGTCAATAGAACGATGGTTGTACGGGAGCTCCCACGCCGGCAACGGAATCACCCTCTCGGGGGTCACAAGCAGGCTTACATTCCTCTTCACACCATCTTTCCACTCCAGAAAATATCCTGCATCCAAATCTATAACTCGATTGTCCACCCCCCCCCCCCTTGGTCCACGTCTACCTCATCCTTGTCCTTCCTGCCTCTCGATGGTCCCGTCCTGGCTCCACTTCCCCGTTTCTTCTTCGCAGTCTCTTCTTTTTCACCAGCTTGCTTCCTCTTCCTCACGGAGCTTCCTTCGCCACTTATCACTTTTCGCTTCTTTTGCTTCTGCCCCTCGGATGTTCCCTGCCCAACTCGCTTCTCCCCCGCCGACACAACGGGGATATCCTCATCGTCACCCCCCTCTTCGTCAGACCCTTCCTCTCCTACATTTCTCTGGGACGGTGCCAGTTTCTTCCCCTTATCACCTCGACCAGTCCACGGATTGGCCTCAACGAAATCCTGGCACACATGACCTTCAAATTCTTCTTCGCCACGTTCCCGGATGGTTATTGTCCTGCCCTTGGAGGGATTTTCTAAGCCCTGCCGCACGACTGCGGCCGTCGTTTCGGCAGTGGTCTTCGTAACTGTGCCCAACTCAACTTCAATTTCGGGCTCTGATTCCTCATATGCTTGAGAGTGCTCCGACTGCGTCGGAGTGAAGTTGGGGTCCAAATTTTCGGCAGGCGTCTTCGGAACTGCAACCTCTTCATCACCGCCAGTAACTGCTGTTTCGGACGTTTGTGTTTTGTTGTGCACGTCATCACCGACACGGGCAATTGGCATGGAAATGGGATGCCCCTCTGCAACGTCCTTACACCTGTCTGGCGACACTGTTCTCTGCCAGTCGTCAAAGAATTCCCGCAGTAGAACAGTAGGTTCACGATCCGAGGTAATAGGCCTGTAAAACGGAAGAGTGGCAACAACATTTCCAAAACCCCGGAATTTTTTCCAAGTTAGCCTACACCCCTTCGCATTGTGGTTAGGCTTGCCATTCTTCGCGTACACCGTTTCGATGGAAAATACCTGATCGCCACGGACCAATCTTCCCACCCACTCACTGCCCCGACGAGCCGGATCACATTACGGTCCTGGATGTACAGAACTCCCCCACATGGTGGTTTCGTCGGTGCCGATTGGTCTTCAGAAACCCAATCGAGGTACTACAAACGGTTGTCCAGCTTGTAGTACTGCGAATTTTGCTTCTCGCCGGACAAACCACGCCTCCGACGGTTGTGCTTGATAGTAGGCGCAGTTGCCGAAGTCGTCGCAAGCCCACCACGGTTCCCTGCCCCCTCCGATGTCGCTTCCCCAACAGGCGGTTGAACGACGTCATGCTGTTTCCCAGGGGCAGGAGATGCCATTTTATCTGCATACAATGGATGCAACGATCAGGAAAAACGCACGATATGACATGTGAGGCGGATCTATTCGCCTGAAAGAACAAAGACAATTCGAAGATGGAGCGCACAGGGCTGTGGTGAGGAGGATCGATTCGTCCCAGGATCTGTCGGCGCTATGAGGAGAGATCTCCCATATATATCCGCCCCGTTGTGAGGAGGATAGATCCGCCTCAGAGATAGGAGGACGACTTCCGGTCCCGTCGAGAACCTGGAGGAGGATCTATCCGTCCCTCAAGATCGGAGCATGTTCTCGAGGACACACCATGGAAATTCCTTGTGAGGATCGATCTGCCCCGGACATAGAAGCCGAGCTCGGATCTCTGGGGTGGATCGACCGTCCTTAGAAACCTCCACTTCCTGCGTTGTACGAGGGGTTTGTGAGGTGGATCGATCCGCCCCAGACATCCAAGCCCTGCCGCAGGAGGATCCGAGCACGGCTTTCGGGATCTCTGTGGCGGATTTATCCTCCACACAACGGGCACATTGTGTGAAGGACTTATCTTCCCCGAAACAACAGCGCGGGTCCTTGCCGGTTTCTGTCGGCAGATGTGTCCGCGTTGTGAGGAGGATAGATCCGCCCCATAAGTTATTGGGTCCACTACGCAGAATGAATCGGTCCCTAAGGAAGCCCCGAAAGGCGCTGCCCATGGATACTAGAAAGTGATAGCGCTGTGAGGAGGATAGATCCGCCCTAGAGGTATGGGGGTTTGTGAGGAGAATAGATCCGCCCCAGAGGTACAGGTAATAGAGAGTGATCGTGTATCCTTGCTGGGTCCCGTCTGCGTAGGTGATCGCGTTGTGAGGACGATAGGTCCGGCCCAGAGGTATGGGGGTTTGTGAGGAGGATCGATCCGCCCGAAATATCCGAGCCCTACTGCCAGAGGATCGGAGCACGACTTTCGGGGTCTCTGCAGTGGATCTATCCTCCACACAGCGGGCACATATCCGCCGACAAGTTCTGGTAGTCGTGCTCGGATCTCTAGGGTGAATCGATCGTCCTTAGAAACCTCCACTTCCGGCGTTGTACAAGGGGTTTGTGAGGCGGATCGATCCGCCCCAGACATCCGAGCCCTGCCGCAGGAGGATCCGAGCACGACTTTCGGGATCTCTGTGGCAGATTTATCCCCCACACAGTGGGCACATTGTGTGAAGGACTGATCTTCCGCAAAACAACAGCGCGGGTCATTGCCGGTTCCTATCGGCAGATGTGTCCGCGCTGTGAGGAGGATAGATCCGCCCAAGAAGTTAATGGGTCCACTACGCAGAATGAATCGGTCCCTAAGGAAGCCCCGAAAGGCGCTGCCCATGGATACTAGAAAGTGATAGCGTTGTGAGGAGGATAGATCCGCCTTAGAGGTATGGGGGTTTGTGAGGAGGATAGATATGCCGCAGAGGTACAAGTACTAGAGAGTGATCGTGTGCCTTTGCTGGGTCTCGTCTGCGTAGGTGATCGCGTTGTGAGGACGATAGGTCCGCCCCAGAAGTATGAAGGTTTGTGAGGAGGATTGATCCGCCGAAACATCTGAGCCCTGCTGCCAGAGGATCGGAGCACGACTTTTGGGATCTCTGCGGCGGATCTATCCTTCACACATCGGGCACATATCCGCCGACAAGTTCTCGTAGTCGTGCTCGAATCTCTGGGGTGGATCGATCGTCCTTAGAAACCTCCACTTCCGGCGTTGTACGAAGGGTTTGTGAGGTGGATCGATCCGCCCCAGACATCCGAGCACGACTACCAGAACTTGACGGCGGATATGTGCCCGTTGTGTGGAGGATAGATCCGCCGCAGAGATCCCGAAAGAGGATCCGAGCACGGCTTTCGGGATCTCTGTGGCGGATTTATCCTCCACACAGCGGGCACATTGTATGAAGGACTGATCTTCCCCAAAACAACTCCGCGGGTCATTGCCGGTTCCTGTCGGCAGATGTGTCCGCCCATACCTCAATCCGCCCCATACATCCGAGCCCTGCCGCAAGAGGATCCGAGCACGACTTTTGGGATCTCTGTGGCGGATTTATCGTCCACACAGCGGGCACATTGTGTGAAGGACTGATCTTCCCCAAAACAACAGCGCGGGTCATTGCCGGTTCCTGTCGGCAGATGTGTCCGCCCCAGAGGTATGGAAGTTTGTGAGCAGGATAGATCCGCCCCAGAGGTATGAATACTAGAGAGTGATCGCGTGTCCTTGCTGGGTCCTGTCCGCGTAGATGATCGCGCTTTGAGGAGGATAGATGTGTCCGCGTTGTGATGAGGATAGATCCGCCCCAGAAGTTAACGAGTCCTTAGGGAAAACCCGAAAGACGTCTCAGATGGGTACTAGAAAGTGACCAAATTTGAATGAAGCTAGCGCCATTTAACAAAACAATATTTGTTGATTGGACAGGGTGAGAGGGGAGCACGGCTTCCGTAACTTGTTGGGGGATGTGTGCCCGTTGTATGGAGCACTGCGTTCAGTCAATCTACGCAGAATGATTCGGTCCCTAAGGAAGCCCTGAAAGGCGATGCCGATGGGTACTAGAAAGTGATCACGCTGTGAGGAGGATAGATCCGCCCCATAGGTATGGGCGTTTGTGAGGAGGATAGATCCGCCCCAGAGGTATGGATACTAAAGAGTGACACGCGATCACACTCTAGTACCCATACAGCACGATCACCTACGGGGGCAGGACCCAGCAAGGACACGCGACCACTCTCTAGTACCCATACCTCTGGGGCTGATCAATCCTCCTCACAAACCCCGTACCATTGGGCGGATCTACCTTAGGGACCGATTCATTCTGCGTAGATTGAATGAATGGGATCTATCAGAGGTGATGGGCTGTGAGGAGGATAGATCCAGCCCAGAGGTCAATGGATAACTAAAAGGGGTTCGATCATTCTCTAGTACCCATACCTCTTGGGCGGATCTATCCTCCTCACAAACCCCCGCACCTCTGGGGCGGATCTATCCTCCCCACAAACCTCCAAGCTAGTGCTACTTAACAAAACAATATTGGTTGATTGGACAGGGTGAGAGGGGAGCACGGCTTCCGTAACTTGTCGGCGGATGTGTGCCCGTTGTGTGGAGCATAGATAATTCATGTGAAAAAAATGATCGCAGACAGTTCAAGGGTTTTTGCGTCCAGTCAAGCTACGCATAATGAATCGGTCCCTAAGGAAGCCCCGAAAGGTGGTGTTGATGGGTACTAGAAAGTGATCGAGCTGTAAGGAGGATAGATCCGCCCCAGAGGTATGGGGTTTGTGAGGAGGATAAATCCGCTCAAGAGGTATGGATACTAGAGAGTGACACACTATCACTCTCTAGTACCCATACAGGGTGATCACCTACGGGGACAGGACCCAGCAAGGACACGCGATCACTCTGTAGTACCCATACCTCTGGGGCGGATGTATCCTCCTCACAAACCCCGTACTTTTGGGGCGGATATATCCTCCTCACAACCCCCCATACCTCTGGGGCAGATTTATCCTCCTCACAGCGCGATCATTTTCTAGTACCCATCGACACCGCCTTTCGGGGCTTCCTTAGGGACCGATTCATTCTGCTTAGATTCTTTGAATGGGATCCATCAGAGGTCTTGGGCTGCGAGGAGGACAGATTCGGCCCAGAGCTCGATGGATAACTAAAAGGCGGTCCATCACTCTCTAGTACCCATACCTCTGGGGCGGATGTATCCTCCTCACAAACCCCCGCACCTCTGGGCGGATCTATCCTCCTCACAAACCCCCATACCTCTAGGGCTGATCTATCCTCCTCACAGGGCGATCACTTTCTAGTACCCATTGGCACCGCCTTTCGGGGCTTCCTTAGGGACCGATTCATTCTTCGTAGATTGACTGAACGGGATCCATCAAAGGTGATGGGTTGCGAGGAGGATAGATCCGGCCCAGAGGTCGATGGATAACTAAAAGGGGTTCGATCACTCTCTAGTACCCATACCTTTGGGGCGGATCTATCCTCCTCACAACCCCCCGTACCTCTGGGGCGGATCTATCCTCCTCACCAACCTCCATACCTTTGGGGCGGATCTATCCTCCTCACAGCGCGATCAGCTACGGGGATAGTTTCGGACAAAACCCAGCATGAACACACGATCACTCTCTAGTATCCATACCTTTGGGGCGGATCTGTCCTCCTCACAAACCCCCGTACCTCTGGGGCGGATCTATCCTCCTCACAAACCCTCATACCTCTGGGGCGGGTCTATCCTCCTCACAGCGCGATCACTTTCTAGTACCCATCGGCACCGCCTTTCGGGGCTTCCTTACGGATCAATTCATTCTGCGTAGATTGACGAAACGGTCCATTAGAGGTGGTGGGCTGTGAGGAGGATAAATCCGGCCCAGAGGTCGATGGATAATTAAAAGGGGTTCGATGCGTGACTGAAATAGTTCGATGAATATCTAGAAGGGTTCGATGCACAACAAGAGGGGTTCGATAGACAACGATAATGGTTCGATGCACAACAAGAAAGGTTCGAACTACTAGGGTTGAATGAACATCTATAACAGATTTGACTAACAACCATGACAGTTCGATCCAGAACAAGCTCGGTCTGGATGCTGAAACAAGACTCGTGGACAACACACTGAAACTGACGGATTTTGGTTGCAAGTTGCAACACAAGGACTGACGTGTCGATGACGTCGGCTTACCTTTCAGTTTGAGGATAGGATAGCTTCTTTTCCATCGAGGGCACTCGACGATCCCCTTGGTGATGAAGATTGAGAAGATGGCGCTTGACGATCGCTCCTTTCAACTGTCTCGTGGCGGGGATCTATTCATTAGATGGCGTTTGACGATCGCTCCTTTCAAGTGTTTCGTGTCGGGGATATGTTCAGAAGATGGCGCTTGACCATCGCTGCTTTAACGCTTGGTGATCGCTCCGTTGATCGCTGCTTTCACTTGATATGTGGATCTTCACATACACAACCAAAGATGGCCCTCTTCGGGGGAGATGGATGCCTCGCCGAGGATACGAAGAGCTCGCGAGGGACGATGGAGATGGAGACGGATGCAAAGACAGGGCTGTAGAAGACGGAGACGGTGACGATAATGAAAGATAACCCCGAGATGGGGAACATGGAGTACCAAGCCGGCGATGATAACGAAAGATAACCCGACGGAAACGAAAGAGATAATGAAAGATAAGGGAAGATGGAGAGACGGAGAAGGAAATGGAGAAGATGGAGAAGGCCAAACGATGACAAACAAGAAAGAAGGCAACACGATGACGAAGAAAAGGCAACGCGATGACAAACAAGAAAGAAGGCAACGCGATGACGAAGAAGGAAGACGAAGAAGGAAGAAGGACGATGGCGACGAAGACGAAGAAGGAAGATGGAGAAAACAAAGAGGGAAGATCGTGCGAGAGTAGAAGATGGAGGATGGTGCGAGAGTAGAAAATGAAAACGAAGAGAGAAAACGAAGAGGGAAGATGGTGCGAGTGATTTGCGACAAGGCAACGTGATGACGAAGAAAAGGCAACACGATGACAAACAAGAAAGAAGACAACGCGATGACGAAGAAGGAAGAAGGAAGATGACGACGAAGACGAAGAAGGAAGATGGAGAAAACAAAGAGGGAAGATGGTGCGAGAGTAGAAGATGGAGGATGGTGCGAGAGTAAAAGATGAAAACGAAGAGAGAAAACGAAGAGGGAAGATGGTGCGAGTGATGGGCGACAAGCAACTGGACGGGGACAGCGATGGCGATCACGAGGGCGATCACGAACTTGACGGCAGAATGATCGGCGGTCTGCATGCGAGTGAGTATATGTGGCGGCGCCGCGAGGGTGTAACCGCGAGGGCGATCTGCGTGCGAGCAAGTATCGAACCGGAAACAGACAGCGATGGCGTAGCCGCAAGGGCACGTCTCGTCCAGGCTAACGGTGGCACAACATGGTCTCCCCGTAATCGCAGTATCAAAAAAATGACGTGGGTTCTGGTCCGCGAGCATGTATGCCTTTGAGGCTAAGGTGGGAAGCCTGGAAATTTTGTGGCGCCCACCCAAAATTTCGCACAACAACAAAAGGCGCCCAAACTATCGAGAAATGACAAAAGGCCCAGAAGCCCTGAATGCGGTCCGGATTTGTCGTCCCAGTCCCGACCACGTCAGCGCGAGAAGAATGACGTCCTGGGATCGTCGAGGTACTGGTTTCTCCTCGGCTAAAGGAGGCCTGTGAAAAGTTCGAGAATCCTACGACACCACGCAATGTCCCTATATCGAACGGTCAGGATTCGTCGATGGGGAAAGTCCCACGCTTTTGCTTGCATTTCATCCGTCGTCGACAGGATATTCTTCGGCGACATGCAGTTCTTTTGCGTCATTTTGTCGGGTTGTTGTTCGAAGCGCCTTGCTATCGCGTCGTCGACGAGGACACCGCCATCGCCACGTCGAGGTGAGCACCTTCCCTTCGCTGGATGCAGTTGCACACACACACAAACACGGCTGTCAAGAACGCAGCGCAACAGGCAACCGTCTCCACGGTGAAGAACGCATCGCCACAGGCAACCTGCGTCATTGTCTTACGCATATGTCACCCGACATGTTGTCTTGCGCAACCATCATCAAGAATGGCACGCTTGGATACCTGTTGCTGTCATTGATCCCCCGCTGTTCCACCCAGATGTTGCACGACGATCACGTCAAGAACTGTACACATGACGTCACCCGCCATGTAGAATCTCCTCTCCCTGACCATGGTCTCAAGAACATCGTGCCCTCATAATTCCTCGCCCGATCAAGGTCTCGCAATCTACGCTTACACAACCATACGTCACCCACCATATTGTCTTGCCTCAACCTGGGCAACCGTCATCAATAATAGCACGCCTGTATACCTGTTGCCGTCCTTGATTCACCTCTGTGCCACCGGGATACTGCGCAGACGACCACGTCCAGAGCTGTGCGCATGACGTCACCCGCCATGTGCAATGCCCTTTCTTGGTCAAGCAACTTGTCTTTCACCCAACTCCCGGAACCTGTTGAACACCAAATGCCCCAGCCCAAGGCAGACTGCGACCGCGAAAATACAACCTTGTCTGATATTGAACATTTTCTCGTGATAGCGTCTATGCAAATCGAATGTCATCGGTGGCGTGACTTCCTCCAAGAACCTCGTGTGATATCGAACACCATCCTCGACTAACATCAACGCCATCGCCAGCCAGGGTGACAGGAGTACCTCCAAGAACCTCGTGTGATATCGAACGCCATCCTCGACTAACATCAAACTCCATCACCAGCCGGAGCGCGTCCCGAAACCGGTGCACAACATGTCTGTCTAAAACCCAGCGTCAGCGGTTGAAGATAGGTTGCAGATGTTCTTTACCGCCCTCAACCCCCCTATTGTTCTTCGGCACGATAGAGAAGAACTGAACACAAATAGACAATGTTAGCAGTTCTGGCACACTAGACACCCCCTCACACGCCATTTGTCGCACTATTCATTGTAGGATCCACCCTCCCCACAATTCTACCCATTAACATTGTCTCAGGTTTCTCAGAAAGATCCTAAACACTCTGTGGAGGATCTATCCGCCCCATAGCATCCACCTCGCACGACTTTTTCTCTTTATCGAATCTATCGGCCCCACAACTCCCCCGCTTTGTATCAGACTTCTCATAAATCCCAACATTGTCTCGGGTTTCTCGGAATGAGGCCAAATGCTCAGTGGCGGATCTATCCGCTCCATAATTCCCCCGGTTTGTCTCTGACTTCTCAGAAACAGGACACATGCTCAGCTCGGGCGGATGTATCCTCCTCACAAACCCCTGTACCTCGGGGGCGGATCTATCCTCCTCACAAACCCCCATACCTCGGGGGCGGATCTATGCTCCTCACAGTGCGATCACTTTCTAGTACCCATCGGCACCGCCTTTCGGGGCTTCCTGAGGGACCAATTCATTCAGCGTAGATTGACTGAACAGGATCCATCAGAGGTGATGGGCTGCCAGGAGGATAGATCCGGCCCAGAGGTCGATGGATAACTAAAAGGGGTTCGATCACTCTCCAGTACCCATTATTCCTCTGGGGCGGATCTATCCTCCTTACAAACCCCCGTACCTCTGGGGCGGATCTATCCTCCTCACCAACCCCCATACCTCTGGGGCGGATCTATCCTCCTCCAGTGCCATGATCACTGTCTAGTACCCATCGGCACCACCTTTCGGAACAGGGCTCAGATGTCTGGGGCGGACCGATCCTCCGCACAACGTTGGATACCTCTGGGGCGGATCTATCCCCCTCACAGCGTGATCACCTACGGGGATAGTCTCGGACAGAACCCAGCAAGGACACGCGATCATTCTCTAGTACCCATACCTTTGTGGCGGATGTATCCTCCTCACAACCCCCCGTACCTCTGGGGCAGAACTATCCTCCTCACAACCCCCCATACCTCTGGGGCGGATCTATCGTCCTCACAGCGCGATCACTTTCTAGTACCCATCGGCACCGCCTTTCGGGGCTTCCTTAGGGACCGATTCATTCTGCGTAGATTGACTGAACGGGATCCATCAGTGGTGATGGGCTGTGAGGAGCATAGATCCGGCCCAGAGGTTGATGGATAATTAAAAGGGGTCCGATGCATGACTGTAATAGTTCGATGAATATGGGGCGGATCTATCCTCCTCACAGACCCCCGTACCTCTGGGGCAGATCTATTCTCCTCACAAACCCCCATACCTCTGGGGCGGATCTATCCTCCTCAAAGCGCGATCACTTTCTAGTACCCATCGGCACCGCCTTTCGGGGCAGGGCTCGGATGTCTGGGGCAGATCGATCCTCCTCACAAACCTCCAAACCTCTGGGGTGGATCTATCCTCCTCACAGCGTGATCACCTACGGGGATAGGACCCAACAAGGACACGTGATCACTCTCTGGTACCCATGCCTCTGGGGCGGATCTGTCCTCCTCACAGACCCCCCTACCTCTGGGGCGGATCTATCCTCCTCACAACCCCCCATGCCTTTGAGGTGGATCTATCCTCTTCACAACGAGATAACTTTATAGTACCCATCGGCACTGCTATTCGGGGCTTCCTTAGGGACCGATTCATTCTGCGTAGATTGATTGAACGGGATCTATCAGAGGTGATGGGCTGTGAGGAGGATAGATACGGTCCAGAGGTCGATGGATAATTAGAAGGGGTTCGATGCATGACTGGAATAGTTCGATGAATATCTAGAAAGGTTCGATGCACAACCAGAGGGGTTCGATAGACAACGATAATAGTACGATGCACAACCAGAAGGATAATGGTTCGATGCACAACAAGAAGGACACATGCTAAGTGGCGGATCTATCCACCCCATAACTCTCGGGTTCTTTCAATCCTCATGATCAGTGGCGGATCTATCCGCCCCACAATTCTAGGGTTCATGACACATACTCAACCCCACATGCTTTTGTTAATGATCGGATTTATCCGCCTGACAACTTTTTCGATTTGCCTCAGACTTCTCAGAAAGAGGACACATGCTCCGTGGCAGATCTATCCGCCCCACAACTCAGCCACACTGACTTTTGCTCATTATCGGATCTATCCGCCCCACAACTCCCCAGATTTGCCTCAGACTTCTTAGAAAGAGAACACATCCTCAGTGGCGGATCTATCCGCCCCACAATTCTAGGGTTCCCACCAAGTGTCCACATACTGGGCCAATATTCTCAGGTTTCCAGGAAAGAGGTCACATGCTCAGGCCGAATATTCAGTGGAGGATCTATCCGCCTCACATATACCACGGATGTGTGTCAAACTTCCACCCGGTTTGTCTCAGAATTCTGAGAAAGAAGGCACACGCTCAGTGGAGGAGCTATCCGTCCCACAACGTCCACCACACATGGCGTTTGCTCATTATCGGATCTATCGCCTTGTCCTCCCCACATTGTCTGAGGATTCTTGGAATGATGTCAAATGCTCAGCCTATGAATCCCCCCGCGGTCACGTCAATCTCGGCCCGCGGTCGGGATCCCGACCGCGGAGGTCGGGTGCGGGCCAGGGCCGCGGTCGGAAAAACCCGACATTTTTAATTTCTAGGATAATAGGCCAAAAAAAAAACAAAAAATATGGGTCTGTAGGTGTTTTTGCGCTCTACAACTGTATAGTTTTAGTTTTATTTTTTGACTTCATTTTATATTTTAAAAAAAATAAAAAACAGAAATCCCTCGGGCAAAAGTTCTACACTTTATTCTTTTAGTAAGAAAAATAAAGAATGTTGTTTGGTTTTTTTATCTCAAATTTGGTAATGAATTTGATATGACCCCGAGACAAAGTTGTTCAGTTTAGTTTTTGGCATAACATATATTTTTTTCAGATTTTTTTGAATTTTTTATTATTATTATTATTTTTTTTCTTGACCGCGGACCGCGGTCATGACCGCGGGCGCGGGGCCGCGACCGCAGTCCGTGTTCGTGCCCGTGGTGACCGCGGCCGCGGGGGATTCATAGTGCTCAGGTTTATCAGAAAGAGCACAAATGCTTAGCGGACGATCTATCCGCCCCACAACATCCACTTCGCATGGCTATTTCTTATTATCGGATCTATCCCTGTCTCTTATACACATCTAGATGTGTATAAGAGACAGTGCCCGTGGTGACCGCGGCCGCGGGGGATTCATAGTGCTCAGGTTTATCAGAAAGAGCACAAATGCTTAGCGGACGATCTATCCGCCCCACAACATCCACTTCGCATGGCTATTTCTTATTATCGGATCTATCCGCTCCACAATTCCCCGATTTGTATCAGACTACTCAGAAATCCCGACATTGTCTCAGGTCTCTCGGAATGAAGCCAAATGCTCACTGTATGATCTATCCGCCCCGTGATTCCCCCAATTTGTCTCAAGCTTCTCAGAAAGAGGACACATGCTCAGCCGCGCATGGCTTATGCTCATTATCGGATTTATGCATCCTAAAACTCCCACGATACTGGACCAATATTCTCAAGTTTCCAGGAAAGAGGTCAAATGCTCAGGCCAAATACTCAGTGTAGGATCTATCCGCCCCAAATATCCCCCGAGCATCTAGAGCCTTCCCTCGGGCAGCCGCCATCTAAAGCCTACCCTCGGGCAGCCGCCATCTAAGCCTACCATTTGGCAGTAGCCGTCTACAGCGTACATCTCGGCAGCGCTACATATGCATGTGGGGAGGATGTATCCTCCCATGGGATATCGGGATACCTGTTTGGAACCAGCCATCTACATCCTGTCTTTCGGCACCCGCCATCTATAGCCTATTTCTTTCGGCAGCCGCCATCTAGAGCCTACCCTCGGGCAGCCGCCATCTAGAGCCTACCTTTTGGCAGCCGCCGTGCACAGCGTACATTTGGGCAGCCGCCAGCTAAGACCTACCTTTGGGCAGCCGCCATCTACACAACCTATACATGTGAAAAACGCTACACATGCATGTGGGGAGGATGTATCCTCCCATGGGATTTCAGGCTACCTGTCTGGAAAACTTGCGTTGTTGGCTTTGGTTGGCAATCTCGACTTTGCGTGTCTTTCTAGGTTCGCCGTCACTGTCTCACCAACTCGATATCGGTTCTCTGAAATTGTAACTCAATGGCAGGCAGAGAAACGCCACACTCTCTGCTCGACCTCTTCCCCACGTCGGTTCCTAGACTGCACAAGGTCAAGGACCATGCTCGTTCGTCTCTCTTTTGAACAACTCGTCCCTATATAGGTGTAAACGGTGTTGCTCTAGCTGAGCAACCGACTCTTTAGCACTTCGCAAGGGTTGTTGTCACATTAGTAGTGGTGTCTCGAGGTAAAGGCTCATAAATTATTGCTAATTTGATGCAGCGTCGGAGACGCTACATATGCATGTGGGGAGGATGTATCCTCCCATGGGATTTCGGGATACCTGTTTAGGACACCTGCGTTATTGGCTTTGGTTGGCAATCTCGACTTTGCGTGTCTTTCTAGATTGACCGTCACTATCTCACCATCCCGATATCGGTTCTCTGATACCGTGAACATAATGGCAGGCAGAAAAACCTGTCTTTCGACACCAGCCATCTACATCCTGTCTTTCAGCAGCCGCCATCTATAGCTTATTTCTTTCGGCAGCCGCCATCTAGAGACTACCCTCGGGCAGCCGCTATCTAAAGCCTACCTTTTGGTAGCCGTCGTCCACAACGTACATTTGGACAGCCGTCATCTAAGACCTACCTTTAGGCAGCCGCCATCTACGCAACCTATATATATGGAAA